AGCTGGGGCTCTTCAGTACCTTACTCTCACGCGGCCTGAGATAGCTTATGCAGTTCAGCAGGTATGCTTGTTTATGCATGATCCTCGTGAGCCTCATCTTGCTCTAGTTAAACGGATTTTGCGTTACATCAAGGGTACTCTACACATTGGTCTTCACATCGGAACTGCACCAGTTGACTCTTTGATAGCTTATTCTGATGCTGACTGGGCGGGTTGTCCTGATTCTCGTCGTTCCACATCAGGGTATTGTGTTTTCCTCGATGAAAACTTGGTCTCATGGTCCTCCAAGCGACAGACCACTGTCTCTCGATCTAGTGCTGAAGCTGAGTACCGTGCAGTAGCACATGCTGTTGCCGAATGTTGCTGGATTCGACAACTTCTTCTTGAACTACATATTCCACTTGCTTCGACCACTATCGTTTATTGTGATAATGTTAGCGCCGTCTACATGACAGCTAATCCTGTTCATCATCGTCGGACGAAGCATATTGAGATTGATATTCATTTTGTTTGAGAGAAAGTTGCTTTAGGACAAGTTCGTGTTTTACACGTTCCGTCCTCACATCAGTTCGCAGATATCATGACCAAAGGCTTGCCAGTTCAGTTATTCACTGAGTTTAGGTCCAGTCTTTGCGTTCGTGATGTTCCTCCCGCTTTGACTGCGGGCGGGTATTAGAGTTAGATTAGATTTGTATAGATTGTATCCGTATATAACTCTTATTTAAGAGTTTGTTGTAATCTCTATTGTATTGGATATATAAATACAATCGCCCTCCCACGTTGGGTTGTGAGGCGTCTCATAATTCTCTACAAGTATGATCAGGAAACAGGGATTAATTGGAGAATGCCCAGGCTCGGCCGACCGACGCCCTGCGCCAGGATCAGTCGCTCCCCACGCGCACATGTCAATGTCTCCCCCATTAAGCCACACCACGTGTCCCTATCTACCTGTCATGTGTCTCCACCACATACTCCATTGCAACAAATCACTCACATATTTTAGAAACCCTCTATTAAGGGAATTTAGTTTTTTTTCCACCAAAAATATTTCACCTAGTGTACTCATAATGTTTCACTATATATAGATCTAATGTTGCAGTGAACTGAAATATTCCATTGCAACAAAAAAAACCCACATATTTTGGAAACCCCATATTAAGGGAATTCGTTTCATTCTTTATTCCACCGAAAAATGTTTCACCTAGTGTACTCAGAATGTTTCACTATGTATGGATCTAATGTTGTAGTGAACTGAAACATTCTTTCGCTATTTGCTGGAACATTGTTTTTATATAAGGTGAAACAATATCTGATTTAAACGAGTAAAACTGTTGATGCGAAAAACACACACTGGCCTGGAAGATCTGCTTAACTCCTATGCAGCTCCAAAATCTTGCTTTTAGGTTCGAGAGCGTGCCAGTTGATTTGATCATGTAATCAACAAGAAAAAAACACAAAGAAATCAAGGTTAAATTCATAAACGATAACCGATCAGCTAGGAGCCGATGACGTATCGTCAATCATTAAGCCGATGTTATTGGCATTAGATCGGCAATGAATAATAAAACAATATGAAACTAAATCTACTCAATCGGCTGTAGATATCAACGATATATAATCCTTCTCTCGATATATATTTAAACTAAGTGATTGGGATAGATCGAATAGCATGTCGAGACAGTATAAATCACTTAAATCTAAATATATATTAAGATCATGATTATATACACATTTACAGCATAGCCGATCAGATAGATCCAGCATGTATCGGCTAATACTCCGATACCACTCTATGTTAAGATATTAAAACAGACAAGATATATTAAACAGAAAGCCTAATATATTCTAATGCAATAAGATCTTAATATAAAGAGTAGATTTAGCATAACAATCAAACATACAAGACAAAAGATAGCTAAATCAGGTAAGATCGGCTGAAACTCCGACACTATCTCTATTGATGATCATAAAACAAGCTAGATATTACAATTATAGATAATACTTAATAGATCGAACTCAACCGATGCAGCATTAAGCGTAAAGATAAATGTAAAATCTAGACAAGGTGATGAAAACCTTTAAGAGATGGTAGATATGCTATATAATCTAGATTAATGACAAGATCTAACTCTATCGGCTACTCTCTAGCAGCAAAAACCAGTCGATTGCGGGTTAGATGGAATAACTAATAAAGATTATGAAGCATGTATGATAACTTAACGAATTACATAAACAAGATTAGAGTGTCATAAAGATGTAAGTACTAATCCCGAGAACGCAAGCCGCCATGACAAGTTTACCTCTAGTTGAAGATCGAAACCGATGCAGCTCAACCCGAAAGCAAGAACTCGTCGAAATAAACGAAAGTGAAAGGGTGGCGATGCGCCGAAAGTGTTATTGAACTGTTGTTGTAAATTACATGGGGTCGGGTTATATTTATACCCAAGATACATGATAGGTCCTTTCCGAACACGACTCTTATCTCTAACAAACTCTAAAATACATAATTCTTTACGGCAGACTTTTGCCCAAAACATATCTCTAAGAAAACTATTCAAAATATCCTAATAGATACAATTGCCTATCTGAGAGCTTATCTCCATCGTGGTAATCCTTGTGTAGCACGTTGATCGATTCTAGAAACGGTTTTATAATCATCTCAATGAAATCGGCTATATCGGCTGTCTTCTGTCCGATCCATCTCAGCCGATACAGACTTCAGCCGATGCCTCTACGGCCGATGCACACTCTATTCTTCAAACACAATCCTTTGCCAAATCCACTTTGATTCCAATGCCGGACCTAGTTCATATCTTACCAAATTTGGTTGTTAACAGAAACATTTTCGATCTACTTAGTGAAACAATTCCGATATACCTGGTGGAACATCGTGCATCATTTAAAAATAATTTAATAATAAGCTATTTTTTTTGTCAGAATATATCCATGTGTGGTATTGTTTTGAAGATTTTATTGCAACGAATTTAATGGTGCAACCGATCATGATTTGGATAAGTAATTTAAGAGAAAAATCAGTTTAAAGTAGTTTTGCGCGTAAATCGGGCGCCCGATTTTTCTCCAAACCGATCGGGCGCCCGACCCATAGACTCATCCGGGATTAATTGTTGGTGGTAGAAACAATTGCACATCGATCGTCAAGACCAGGGCAGAACTGGGCCTAGGACAGCTTGGACCCAAGCCTCACTCGTGAAAAAAAATTTAGTGGACTAGTACCTACATATTTTCTAGATTTTCTCAAATTCTTATAGCCCAGCCCCACACATGGCCTGTTTCAGCCTCACATCTCTCACTCCCATCCCAATAACTAGCCCATCACACCCCAATAGAAGCCAACCCTAATCCCACCTCCTATCTCTCGTGCATCACGCAGTAGGGATGAAATAGAAGCCAACCCTAATCCCACCTCCTATCTCTCGTACGCAGTAGGGATGAAATAGAAGCCAACCCTAATCCCACCTCCTATCTCTCGTGCATCACGCAGTAGGGATGAAAATGGGTCGGGTTCGGTTGGATCTCACCCTTCCCATATTCTAACCCATATTTTATAATCGGAATCGGGTCGGACACAGATAGTGCCGAATACGGATACAAACTCGGATAATGTCGGGCAAAAATACGGAACGAATACATACCAAAATGGTTACGTACACAATCGGTTACGAATATTTATTCGAATATCAAATCGAAGCAACAATCTTATATATCACATAGACAATAACCATTTAACAATTCCATATATCCATAATATGATTATATTAGGCCATTAGGACCTTAGGAAATAAATATGGTACAATACATCATAGTAGAACCAATACATAATACCAAAAAGTGCCTCAAAAAACATAATACGGGTAATATCCGAATATTTATCCGGGTAATACCCGGATTTTTTACCGGATAATCCGTATCCATCGGATACTATGTTCCTGAACCCGATCTCATATCTGCCAAAAAGACCCGTATTCAGACCCGATATCTGTAAAAAGTCCCGGGTACCCGAATTTGTCCTGAAATAATATGGTCGGGCAGGCGGGCGGGAAATACCCGCACCATTTTCACCTCTGTCACGCAGCATCACCGAGAGCCGTATCTGTGTCTGTTCGCGTTCTTTCTCTTCTCTCACGCTCTCGGCTTTCCGCCTCTCCCTGTCCCTGTCTCCCACACCATTGACTGCGCACGGCGGCGGACAGTGACACGCACTACGGCATTACTGGCGGCAGATTATACTTCTAAAATATAAATATGGCAACTGACAAGACAATTGAACTTAAAAAAACTATAAGATCTAAATATGAAAGTTCCAAAGAGGAAGAATAAAAGTTGTGACGGGTCGGACAATCAAATAAATGAGTGGCAAAAAAGTAAGGGTTGATGACTTATTGACTTTTAAAAACTAACCCGATGATAATAAGATTCGATCTTTTAAGATCGGCTAGATGGCTATAACAAATTTAAATAAAAACATGTTTAAAAATAGATAATTTTAGATATGTGCTAACCGCACAACAAATAAAGGGGTGACAAAGGAGTAACGATAGCAACAAATGTGACTTGTAAAAACTATAAAACTAGAAACCCGGGGATGATAATGTTCGATCTTTGAAAGTCGTAAGACATGAGATGGATATTTAATAAATTTTAAGTAGAATCATGTGTAAAAATAGATAATTTTATGGGTGCTAGCCACGTAATTGCGCGGGCGACCCACCTAGTTTATACTGAAAACACTAATGGGCGAACGCAAACGTAACACACCTCCCGGCATCATAATGTTTCCCTTTCCTCTTCTCGTCCCTTTCCCCTTCACTCTCCCTTCTCACCTTGCCTGTCCACCTCTCCCCGGCATCAGCATCAGCAACACTGCTTGCTGGCCACCTCATGCAAATTTCAATTATTGTGATTTGGAGAAAGCATCTAGTGCAGAAACTTTATCATTATAAATTTTTGAATGTAGATACTTTGTGCACATGGACTTTGGATGTATAAACTTTGTACACAAGAACTTCTGATATAGAAGATTTGTGCATATGAAATTCCAAACAAATTATTAAACAATCGATGCCCTCAAATCCAACAAGAATACAGGAACCATTATGGATACCGCCTTGAATAGGTAACTCCCTTATCTGCTCAAGACCTTATCCCTATTTGAGAATTTATCTCCATAATACAAGAACTGATATGCGGTATTCTCGCCGGTGTATGTGTATGTACATGGTGATATCCCAAATTTAACATATTAACACCAATATGCATAGCTAGCGCTGCCTTCAAATTAAGTTGCAACAATTTCACTTAAATTTGATCAGAGGCAAGTATGGGGATGGCCTTAATTGGAGTAACAAGAACATTGACAGTAGTAAACTTCTCGCTAAGATCCAAAGCCTCCGCTGTCACACCAGCAGGGAGCCTCCACTCGAACGCGTGAAGCAGCGACGCCAAAATGAATGGCACGACGCGCTTTGCCATCGACAACCCCGGGCACAGCCTCCTTCCGGTCCCGAACGGCATGAACTTGTGGTCTTTTCCCCTGAAATCCACCTCCTCCGCCATGTCCAAGAACCTCTCTGGCATGAACTCCTCGGGCCTCTCCCACGCCACCGGATCACGCATGATCGCCCACACGTTGAAGATTACCGTCGAGCCCTTGGGCACGGCGTAGCCCCCGATCTCCGCGTCGTCCTCCTCCGCCCGGTGCGGCACGAGGATCGGCGCCGCCGGGTGCAGGCGCATCACCTCCTTCACCACGGCCTGGAGGTACGGCAGCTTCTCTACGTCGTTCTCCTCCATCTCCGTGGCTTTCACCTTGCCGGCGAGGACGTGGTTCATCTCGGCGCGCGCCTTGGCCATTACGCTCGGGTTGCGGAGCAGTTCCGCCATCGCCCACTCCACCGTGATGGCGATCGTGTCGGTCCCGGCGCCGAACAAGTCGTACATTATGCTTGTCACGTCGTCGCGAGCGATCGTGCCGGCGGACATGAGGTCGAGGAGGGAGTCCAGGAAGTCGCCTGCGCCGGCGTCGGCGTGCTTTCCGGTCGAGGCGTCGGCCAAGCGGCTGTTGATTACGCTGTCGAAGATGCCGAACACCTTGTCGTAGCGCTTCTCCGCCCAGCGACGCCATCCCTGCAGGTCGAGCCGGCGGAGGTTGAGCACGCCACCGTACACGACCTTGCCGACGTCGACCACCTCCCCGGCGTGCCCGGCGAGGTGGCCGACGATGTCCCGCACCTTGCGCTCCCGGACGCCGCGCGCCGCGGCGAGGCTCCGCGGGGAGAAGACGTGGGTGGCCGCCACGCCGCGCAGCGTCTTCCAGCGCGGGTCGGAGCTCGGCAGCCATATCATGGACCGGCTGGCGAACCCGCGCGCGCGGGTAGTGTCCGGCACCGCGCGCGCCGCGAGGCGCCGGTCGTGCTTGGTGAACGCCTCCCTCGCCGCGCCGGCCGACGAGACGACCACGGTGGTGACGAGGCCCAGCTTCAGCGCCATCACGGGGCCGTGCTCGCCGGCGAGGCGCGCCAGAGCGTGGTGCATGTTGCCGCGCAGGCTGAGCACGTTGCCGATCACCGGGAGCGGCGTCGGGCCAGGAGGCAGCCGCCGCGATCGGCGGCGCATCGTGCCGGTGAGGTAGTAGCAAGCCATCGCGGCGGCGAGCGCTGCGCATAGCAGCCAACACACCTCGCTCTCCATTTCGTCGGCTTCACCTCGGTTTGCCGATCGACGACGATCTCCGTATAGAAGTGGAGGCGTTGCCGTGTTGGTGTGGCATTATATTGGCGGCTTCGAATTCGATTTGGAGTACAAATATCAAACGTTCCACGGCATCTGGAGAGGCTTGATTTGTACAGCAACATATGCAGTTCGTCCTGCGACTTGGAACGATTTGGCCAAAAAAAAATCTTATCGTCCTTTGTTCATGTAGCCATCCGACAGTACAGACCGATTAATAATGATATGTCATTGTCGTACTGAATTATTAACGGCCCCGCATATTTGCAAAAGAGAAGTAATTTGTGAATAAAACTTTTATATGTGTGTTCTTAGCGACCTAAAAACAAAGGTCGAAATATAAACTTCGATGAAAAGATCTCAAAATCAGCTTCAAATTTAAGATTGAAAATTTAAATTTTAATGAGATAAGCATTAACATAAGTGAAATGATAAGACCGAAAATTATATATGTGACAATATGTTGTAGCCTTTGGTCGAAATCTACAGCAACCACAAGAAACAACATTGAATCACTGCTACAAGGTTGCGTTTAGGGGTGGAAAAAAAAAGCTCGGGCTCGTGAGCTCAGCTCGGGTTTGGCTCGAGCTTGGTTGGCTCGGCTCGGCTCGTAAGCCAAACGAGCCAAGCCCAAGCCTTCTTCTTTTCAGCTCGTTGCTGAAATGAGCCAAGCCAAGTCGGCTCGCGAGCCGTTTGTTTTGGCTCGCAAGCTTAGGCCATCATGTATTTATATCAATTATTTTATTTTTTATGGCGTTATTATTTGTAAACTTGAAATTTATCATTAAGATTTTAAAGAATTGAATATATATACTTATTTAAATTTTACATGTTAATGAATTGTTCTTGCTTTTTTTAATAATTACAAAATATATATGAAGAGGTGTTTCAACAGAAAGGCTTTGCAAGCCAGCGCTAGCCAGGAAACGAGCCGAGCCGAGCTCAAGTTTTACCTTGTTTTCCTAACTGAATCGAGCCAAGCCAAGCCTAGTTTGTTGTGATCCACTGCAAGCCAGTTCGTTTCCTCCCCTAGTTGCGTTGGAGTCATTTCGTTGGTGATCACCCCCCCCCCCCTCTCTCTCTCTCCACCCTTTCCATCCATCCCGTCCTATCTCTTTGAGAAAATTTTCTATATACCCCTAAAAAGTTTCGCAATCTCTTGTATACCCTTGAATTTTGTCTCATCTTCTATATGCCCTTGAGTTTTCATTTTGATTTCCTCTATCCCTATTCCGTTAGTTGACTGCTATATTTTCCCATACTTACATACTATCTACTTCATAATTCACAATGTGAAATACCGTAATACATGGTAAAATCAAATGGGCATAATGATTTATTGTAAAATTTGAAAAATAAAATTTAAATTGTTGAACAAATTTATTTTTTTTGACAGAATCCATTTTAGAGTTTTAGCTAGAAACTATGAACCAAAATTATTTATTTGTTGGGTTCAAATTTTGATGAAAACAATTTACGAATTTCATAAATGATAATTTAACTTTTATTTAAAAATTTTATATTTATTTTTAATTTTTTTCAAATAATTATATTTCCTTTTTTTACAAATAGATCTTTTTTATATAAGAATTGTGATTTTTATTGCTAAACTAGTAGATAAGTATAAGAGATAATATAGGCTATGTTCTATTTAAAAGGTATTGAAGAGAATTGGAGGGGATTGAGGGAGAATAATTTCACACCATACTATTAATTAATTTTTTACCTATTTTTTTAATAACCGTGCCGTGCCTAAAATTTGTTATATTTAAGTAATGGGACAGAATGCATGCAACCTCTTCATACAAATTCTTTGTTCCAAAGTAGGCCGTAATGGACGTGCTGGAAACCTGTAATTATTGACGTAGGCGTTCTATACTTGAGGTCACCATACTTGAGGTCCATAGAGGAAAGGGATGCGCAGCCAACTTTTCGGGCCATGGACCCCTCCCGTGTTAGAGCACCTGGTCCACGGGAGAATAAGTTCACTTTGGGTCCCTCTATTTGTCGTCCAGTCCGATTTTCGTCCCTTCACCATAAAACCGGGTACTACCCGTCCCCCAACTTACGAAAACCGGACAACCGAGGTCCCTCGGCGGTTTTGAAGGCAGTTTTGGCTGACGTGGCGCCTACGTGGCTTGTTTGACTAGTTCTCCATTCCACGTGGCATTGACGTGGCGCTTACGTGGCAACTATATCTCAATAATAATAATAATAATAATAATAATAATAATAATAATAATAATAATCATGGGCCCACATGTTAGCCACACAAAAAATAATTAATCTAAAAATGGTGGGGCCCACATATCTGCTACACAAAAAAAATAAGGTGGGGCCCACGTAGGCCCCACATGTCATCTCCCTCTCCCCACACGCGAAACTACACGGGAGGGAGGCCATGGGGACGTGCGGCTAGCTGCTAGCAGCGGAGCAACACAACGGCATGGACGCCGCCTGTCGACCTCCGATTTTGTAAATCGGAAATCTTCTGTGTTTATCAGTACCAATCCCTGGATCAGTAGTTGGTACACACATATATAACCGAATCACAACATATCACGAATGAATTCAGGCTAAGAGAGTTAAATGTTTATATTAGGGCCAAGCAGGCCAACAACTATCAGAGAAACAATAGCGGAAGACAAAATAATACAAGGGCTCGGTTGACATGCCACAAGCAGTCGACTGGGGAACGAGACCTAGAACGGAACCGCACTCCGATTATCTTGTTAGGTACGCAAGCGTACTAACAAGGGCTTCTCTTCAATACTCTGCTAAAAGATATATATATAGAGCAACAATGAGTACAAAAGTACTCAGCAAGCCACCACAGAAAATGCTATAATGTACAGGATAATACAAGGGGTGGCTATGGTTACTTTGCGTAAAGCTGAGTTTTTAAATATCATTTCACAAACCTAAGACCTAGCATAAACTGATCAAGTTTTAATTCCATTGTTCATTAAACAGCGACGGTTCTGTCCACCATCCATTGTGTTCCCAAGGATAGCTTCCCGCCACTGGTCGTCATGGTTTTCTGGGGTTTACCCCTTCTCGCCTCTTGAGAAGTTGATCCACCAGTACAAAATCATCATGCAACATCCCACCCAACCAGTTTAAGAATTTAGAGTCTAGCCAAGTATAATACATGTCCCGGTGCTCAATATCCGCAAGCACGGCTATCGAATAGATTTGGTTTACTCACACTGCAGTGGATGTACACTTTACCCGTACTCCGCGACTTGCCCAACACATGAGCCTACGTCCCAATGAACGAGACTTGCCACGGCAAAGCCTTTCAATAACCTCACTTTGGCAGTACCCGCTCCATGAACTTGAGTCCTCATACACTCTAGGCGTACACTGTTTCTAGCAGTGAGAGGAGTTCTGGCGCTCCCGGGAAGGAAAGACTCACACATGCATTAAGTTATAGTTAAGTTTAGGTTTACACATGGCAGTCCTACCGATGGCGACACCATTGTAGGCACCCGCCCCTCGCGGTCCTACCAATGGCTGCCCCACCGTAGGCCCTGCCTCACACCCATCAAGAAAACCACTATGCAGGGATACTGCCTCCGCTCGGCTATTTACTCCGCTAGGTCTATACCCATACGAGAAGTACAGTTGTACGGGGGTCGTTTCATGCTTAGCTTCATGGCTCGGTCCTTAACTGACCAGGGACGGCACTAGCCTTTTCTGGACACCACCCAAGTACCCCAGCCGCCCCAGTCGAAAACAGTGTTTAATTTTATTTCTCCTTTCACAATTCATGTCATCCTTGTCATGGCAATGTGGCGCTCATGTCTCCACATGCCGCATCTCAACTACCTTCCCTAAGGTAGTTGCCCAAACATATAGCACTTGATAAATATGAGAATGCATGATTCTAATTAGCATGACTAAGCATTTGTTCAATATTGACTAAGTACACACGATAGCAGGGTTTACAATGGTCATACAGATAATCAATATCAAGGCATGGCATATATAACAAGTAGGACATTCATATTCATATATATAGCATGCAATTTTATTTAAATCAACATAATTTTCGCAATAGGTTCAACATGCTCAAAGATTAGTGATGACTTGCTGTAACATCCTGAAAATTCAAGACAATAAAAATCACTAAAATTTTGAACTTTTTAAAACTTTTGCATCATGCTGGTTGTTATGAATGTTATTGCTTGCCAAACCGTAAATGATCACATCTAAAATTTAAGTAACAGATAAATTTACGAGAATATTTAATTGTTAACCCTACAAATAATTACGTACAAGAAAACAAAGCCATACAAACGGAAGGTTAATTACTAATTTAAATTATGGATTAATTACTAAATACTTGAACCATGTGTTGCGTGCCATGACATCTAAATACACATGAAATAATGACCATTTATAATGGAACTCTATCTATAACATAGTTTCACTAGGAGTAATTAATGGGATATTACTAAACTATAAGGGTCTATATAGAGGTAAACCAATTCACATGAAATAATGGTCATATAATTAAATTAAGCTTTATGAAATTTTATGAGGTTTTAATTAAACAATTAGATTAATATTGTGTCGAGTCTCAATTTACTATTTATAGAATAAATAGATTGAACCTATCCGTGTAAAATATATTGCTATACAACTAAACTCGACCAATCTGCTAATGTATTAATCATGACAAGTCGTTATATTAAATTCAATATTACCCCAAAATCTTCAAAAATATATAAGTTCACTTTAGGGCCAATAATCTAAATTAATCTAAAAAGAACTCGTTTGTGTGATAAATAAATAAATATGGGTGGTAATAATTTTGGATAAATTTTCATGAGGATTTAGTGCCTAAATTTAGTTAACATTTAACTAAGTAAAATTAGAGCTTATAGGATTAAAATAGTATAGAAAATGGGCTAAAATCGGGATAAATGGGAAAAGTCACTGTTCATTACGGCATAGGTGTTCGATGTGGTCCCCTAGACCTCCCCCCTCCTCTCCCACCACGGCGCCCTAGCCGGCCGTGCGCCCCGTGCTGCCGCCGCCCATCGCCGTCGCCGTCGCCATCGCCGCTGCCGCGCCGCGCGCCGTCGCGTCGCCTCGCGCCCCGCGCCCGTCCCATCGCCGCGCGCCGAGCCCCGCGCCGTCCCGTCGCCGCGTCGCCGTCCCATCGCCGCTGCTGCGCCGTCGCCGTCGCCATCCCACTGCCGCGCCGCGCGTGCCGCCGACGCCTCGAGCC